GAAAGTATTTGACACTGTCCCCCCCTCTTGAAAGACTGGTGTACAAGATGGAGAAACAGGCCGGGGTAATTGGGAAACTGCTGAATTGAATCAGGGAGTACTTGAAGGACAGAAAGAAGTTAGTCAGAGAGAGAGGTTTCCAGCTGAGGGAATGTTCTAAGTGGGGGTCCCACAAAGCTCGTTCCTGGGGCCAATGCTGTTCCTAATTTATGTGAACGACTTACATGTCAATGTTGACCAGACCACACACTAGAAGGTGAAGGGATGACGACGTTTCGGTCCTTCCTGGACCATTCTCAAGTCGATTGTGTCAAGTCGATTCTCAAGCCCACAATCGACTTGAGAATGGGTCCAGGACGGACCGAAACGTGGTCGTCCCTTCACCTTCTAGTGTGTGGTCTGGTCAACATACTTTAGCCACGTTATTGTGACTCATCGCCTGCTTACATGTCAATGTCTGCATGTGGCATACAAGACGCTGGCAAATATAAAAACATCGTTCATGAGGACTCCTTCAAGGCAATCTATACAACTGGAGTATGCATCACCGGCGTGGAATCCGCACCTTCTGAAGCATAAAAACAAAACTGAAAAAGTACCAAGGTTTGCGACAAGGTTGATGCTTAGAGGGTTACGCTACGAGAATAGGCAAGTGGAACTAAATCTCTCACTCCTAGAGAATAGAGGGAACAGAGGGGATATGATCATAGCATACAAGATACTGAGGGGGAATATATAAGGTGGACAAAGATAGCCCCTTCAGATTGAGAGAAAGCAGGACAAGAGGACACAGGTGGAAGCTGGAAACGCAAATGAGCCGAAGGAATGTAAGGAAGTACTAGTACCCTATACAGGTAATCAACAAGTGGAATGCACTGAAAGAACAAGTTGCGGAAGCCACCTCCAGCCACAACTTTAAGGCCAGATTCGACAAATAATTTAAACATCAAAATAGTTGAGTTGTTACACAACAGGTATAACAAGGGCCAGCAGGCGGGGTACCAGGAGCTAAACCTCGCTCCCCCGTAGTTACTGATAGGTAAACACTAGTACCACCACCTGTACAACAACCACCGCCACCACCACCGCCACCACCACCGCCACCGCCACCGCCACCACCACCACCACCACCACCACCACCGCCACCACCACCACCACCACCACCACCACCACCACCACCACCGCCACCACCACCACCACCACCACCACCACCGCCACCACCACCGCCACCACCACCACCACCACCACCACCACCACCGCCACCGCCACCACCGCCGCCGTCCAGCAGCAGAAGCAAGAACATATGAGAGAATATTTGCTTAAGATGTTAGAAGCAAGGTAAAAGAGGATATGGAGGAGGTGACCTGGAGGTGTGAGAACATACAAGGGGGAGGGGGGAGGGGGGCATACAAGGGGGGAGGGGACGAGGATATACAACAGGGGGAAGAAGGAGGGGGAAGGGGAAGGACATACAAGGTACGAGAAAGTGGGGGAACATCTCGTCTTGGCGACAAAATAAACTTGATAGATCAAAGTTGTATTTGGTCAACCTATTAACAATTGACTCGTTAATGTATCTACTTATTATTTTAGTATGATGATATTGCTCATTATAAACACATATTAAAAGCCAATGTTATTACAATGGATTACATTATGTTACCTTAAGACGTCTGCCAACGTGTTATTAATTTTTGAACTTAATGAATTTAAATATTAAATGTATTGTTTCAGAACCAAATAAAGATTTTGAATTTGAATATTCGGCGGTGGAAGGAAGAACATGATGATTAAGGTAGGAGGAGGAGAAGGAGGAGGAGTAGCAACAAGAAAAGAACAAAGAGTAGGAGGATAGTCTTGGAAGCACTGCAAGCATGGAACACAAGAATGGAACGCAGGAAGAAGGAACACAGGAAAGGCAATGTTTGACGAGCGAAGTGGGATAATGGTAAGCAGGAGACTGAGAAGGAGGAGTGGGTAGAGGATGACCTGGTGGGAGTAAGTAGAGGAAGAGAAAGGGAAGGGGGATAGCAGGAGGAAAAGAAGGCGGAAAGGGGAAGAAGCAGGAGAAGAGGAAGAGGAGGGTTGCCTGGTTATCTTGAGATGATTTCGGGACTTTTTTTAGTGTCCCCGCGGCCCGGTCCTCGACCAGGCCTCCACCCTCAGGAAGCAGCCCGTAACAGCTGACTAACACCCAGGTACCTATTTTACTGCTAGGTAACAGGGGAATAGGGTGAAAGAAACTCTGCCCATTGTTTCTCGCCGGCGCCTGGGATCGAACCCAGGACCACAGGATCACATGTGGTCATTTACATATGAATGCGTTTCTCCCTGATTACTCTACTGTATACGCCGATAATTACTGTTATCTCGTCGAGTACACTAGTTTTCCCTTTCTTCACTAATAATTACAACTGGACGAAGACAGAATTACCTGTGCAACCCTTCCTCCTCACAAGACGAGACATATAGGACGAGTGGTCTACATCCTTCTAGCGAGTATAAGAAATATTGCCGGAACAAGCGTGGGCGTCTCGAATAGAAAACTGGATAGTTTTCTTCAAGGAGTGCCGGACCAACCGGGCTGTGGTGGGTGTGTGGGCCTGCGGGCCGCTCCAAGCAACAACAGCCTGGTGGATCAAGCTCTAACGGACTTGGGAGTAGAAGAACTCCCAGAACCCCATCATCCAGGTACAAGACGAATGTCTGGATGTACTATACGGACCCACGGATATCATACTGCCTATGTATACTGGATGTCCGTATGTCCAAGGTTGGAGACCAAATGCATAGGGTTAGCCTTACCCAAATTTGTAGGGAACACGGTCTGGGGTACAGGACGGACATAGGCTGATTGTGGTAGGCCTAAGTTAAAAGATATAAGAAATATTAATCATTAACCCTCCCCCCCCCCTCCCTCCCACACCACACGATTTTCATGGATTCAATTCTGGTCGTGTGAAGCGTTCGTCCAGATGTCCAAAGACTTCTTAAACAAAATATATGTCTTCATTTCTTTTAAATAATTTTTTTTTTTAATTTTTAAATAAATTTAAATAAATAAAAAAATTATTTCTGCATAATATTATATGATGAGAAAGAAATGCTAATCGCGGGGAGAGGGGGGAGGGGGAGTTTAGGGGAGGGGGAGAGAGGTCGAGGGCAATGGCGGGGGGGAGGGGAGGAGAAAGGATGGGGATGACTAGGGAAAGGAAGAGAGAGAGAGAGAAGACGGGGAGGGGCTCCCGGGCACTACCGGGTCCCCCCCCCCCCTTATATTACATGTCATGAAAGGGAAGAGGGTCTCAGTAGGGGGGGGAGGGGGGGAGGGAACGGTATTTTAAAGTAAGGTGATCACGTTACTTTCTGGGATTGAGAGACCCGGGCAATGCCGGTTAACCCCCTTCTAGTGGGGTTGGAGGGGTACACACACACACACACACACACACACATATATATATATATATATATATATATATATATATATATATATATATATATATATATATATATATATATATATATATATATATATATATATATATTATATGTGTGTGTGTGCGGAAAATCCAGAGAGAAATATGAAAGGAGGTGAACGTTTCGGCTTGTTAAAGCCTTTGTCAACACCAGACTGACTGCTTTGAGTCAGTCTGGTGTTGACAAAGGCTTTAACAAGCCGAAACGTTCACCTCCTTTCATATTTCTCTGTGGATTTTCCGCATAAAATGATCAGTGTTTTGTGATCGTCAATTGCATATATATATATATATATATATATATATAACTGAAAACTCACACCCCAGAAGTGACTCGAACCCATACTCCCAGGAGCTACGCAACTGGTATGTACAAGACGCCTTAATCCACTTGACCATCACGACCGGACATAATGAGGTGATAGCCGAGGCTATTTGAACCACCCCACCGCCGGCACTCGGATAGTAATCTTGGGCATAGCATTTTACCAAATCACCTCATTCTTTGGGGCACACGTGAGGAACACAAATGCGAACAAGCCTGAGTTTTCAGTTGCATATTGTCCTGGGGACCATTCAGGCTTGTTCGCATATATATATATATATATATATATATATATATATATATATATATATATATATATATATATATATGTGTGTGTGTGTGTGTGTGTGTGTGTAGTTGTAAGAGTTATAAACAATATGCTAAAAATAAATTTAAACAAGAACCAACTTCATAACTTAAGGTAAATATGCCTATTATTCCTCATCTTTGATAAATCGTATGTCAAATTGTTCTTAAATAAGTTTGTATTAATTTGGTGAAAAGCAAATAATTATTTGGGTGCATAATAGTATGGAATTAGATTTGTCAATGTAAACACACAACACCCTTGCCTACTATGCCTGGCAGTTCGGTTAGGCTATGTTACAGGCTTTCTTTCCTATATTGCAAATAGTGACTTGTTGCATATGCAACACTATATATCTTCTGTACATAGGCTGTTGCTTGGAGCGGCCTGTAAGCCTACATATTCACTACAGCCTGGTTGGTCCGGCACTTCTTGCAAGAACTTGTCTAAATGGCTCTTGATGAAGTCCACCTTTGTTCCGGCAATATGTCTAATGCTTGCTGGGAGGGTGTTGAACAGCTGTGGACCTCTGATGTTCAGACAGTGTTCTCTGATTGTGCCTATGGCACCTCTACTCCTCACTGGTTCTATTCTGCATTTCCTTCCGTACCTTTCGCTCCAGTATGTTGTTATTTTACTGTGTAAGTTTGGGACCTGGCCCTCCAGTATCTTCCATGTATATATTATTTGATACCTCTATCGTCTTCTTTCCAGAGAGTACATCTTGAGAGTTTTGTTCTAACCCTCATTTAATGTTCTAATTTGTTTTCTCCATAGATTTTGAATATTCCATAGAGTTTCTCCAGTTAGAAGATAGATGTTGTAGTATATGTGCTGCTGGTGTCCTCACCCTCGTATAATGTTGTAATTTATGTGTTCTCTGTTTTTTCAGGAGCGCGGGCTGCGTGGGCGTGATAGAGCGGGCGGCGGGGGCGCTCTAGTCCCGCCCCTGACACTACGCCACCAGCCGGAGAGGCCTTGTCAGTGCTGCAACAGTGAGCGGGCGTTAGCAGTGCCGTGGAGTCTGTGTGAGGCCCCTTTAGGGCGGCCCCATAGTGTGGTGCGATCAATGTGGTGGTGGGCAGTGTGGTAGTGTGGTGGTGGCCGTGGTGACGGAGTGGTGAGCGAGTGTGGTGGTGCGTGCGCAGTGATGCACCGACATGATGTGTGAGCAGTGCCGCCTCGGGGAGGAGGAGGGGGACGTCGGCGACCCCTCCAGTCCTGCTGTCCCCGTGCCGCCCTCCTGCTACTGCTGCCGGGGACGTCTACGGGACACAGCCACGCCGCCGCCGCCGCTGCTCAGTACCAGACGAGCAGAGGCGAGAGTGGTTAGTGCAGTGATCAGTGGGAGAGAGCAGTGTGGGGCCCCGGTTGGTGAAAGAACAGTGAGAGCCCCGGGCAGGACTCAGACGCGGGCGGCCATGTTGGGACTCCTACTGGCCTTCGCCCTCTGTCCCGCCACCTGCGAGTACGTGCGGGAATTCGAGGTGTCGGAGGGCGTGGCAATAGGAACCAATATCGGTTACATCGGCGACAGTAACCCCGGACAACCGCTGCCGCCGCCGCCGCCATACCTGATAGTTCCAGTGCCGGGCAGCGCAGTGGACTCGGATCTTAGAATTGAGCAGGACACGGGCGAGATTAAGACCAAGGTGGTGCTGGACCGGGAGCTGAGATCCTCTTACTCTCTGGTGGCCATCCCGCACTCCGGGGAAAACATCAGAGTACTCATCAAGGTCAAAGATGAGAACGACAACGCCCCGACCTTCCCTTCAGCCGTCATGAACATCGAATTCCCAGAGAACACTCCACGCGACGTGAAGCGCACGCTGGCGCCGGCCCGGGACAAAGACCTGGGCATCTTCAACACCCAGCGTTATCGTATTGTCTCTGGCAACGTCAACAACGCCTTCCGTCTCTCCTCACACCGCGAGAGGGACAGTGTTCTCTATCTCGACCTCCAGATCAACGGGTTTCTAGATCGGGAGACCACAGCGTTTTATTCATTGTTAATTGAGGCTTGGGATGGTGGCTCGCCACCTCTGAAGGGCTCCATGACTGTCAACATCACCATACAAGACGTCAATGACAATCAGCCCATATTCAACCAGAGTCGTTACTTCGCTACCGTGCCGGAAAACGCGACAATTGGTACCTCGGTGTTGCAGGTGTTGGCTACCGACACCGACGCTGGGGATAACGGGAAAATCACCTACTCCATCAATCGTCGCCAGAGTGACCGCGAGAACATGTTCCAGATCGACCCCAAGTCTGGAGTCATCTCTGTCAACCGGCCTCTGGATTTTGAGACAAAGGAGGTGCATGAACTGGTGGTGGTTGCCCGTGACAACGGCGACCAGCCCCTGGAGACCACCGCCTTCGTCTCCATCCGCGTCATTGATGTCAACGACAACCAGCCAACCATCAACCTTATCTTCCTCTCCGACGATGCAACGCCCAAGATTTCTGAAGATGCGCAACCCGGCGAGTTCGTGGCGCGGATTTCCGTCAACGATCCCGACTCTAAAGAGGAGTACGCTAACGTGAGTGTGACTTTAGAAGGGGGCGAAGGCCACTTCGAACTCACCACTCAGGACAGCATTATCTACCTGATGGTGGTTTCGCGGCCGTTAGATCGCGAATTGAAGCCCAATTACACCCTGGTGGTGTTCGCCACGGATATGGGCACTCCGCCACTCCACGCATCTCGCAAGTTCGACCTACAAGTAACGGACATGAACGATAATGCTCCCGAGTTTGACCAGACTGTGTACTACGCTAATGTGCTGGAGGTAGCCGACCCGGGTACCTCCGTCTTCCAACTGTCAGCGTTAGATCGAGACGAAGGGAACAATTCCGTGATCACTTACTCGATTCGAGACACACCTGAGACTCACTCGAACTGGTTTCAGATAGACTCTCGGACAGGTCTGATCACGACACGGACTCACGTGGACTGCGAAACGGAACCGGTGCCGCAGATCACGGTCATAGCCACGGATTCTGGGTCACCTGCTTTGTCCTCCTCCGCGACGGTCAAGGTCACTATCCGAGACGTCAACGACAACGAGCCCATCTTCGACCAGAGCTTCTACAACGTCTCCGTTCAGGAGTCGGAAGCCGTGGCCAACTGCATATTAAAGGTAAGTGTCTTTAAAGGTAATATATATATATGTTTCATTCACCTGGGCTCTAGGAGACTCGAACCGTAGACCCCATAAGTGTTAGGCCGAAGCTCTATCGACCGAGCTATTAAGACGTCTTAATAAGGAAAATTATCAGAAGCAGCATCCTGCAGTTTCTGGGTCCAGTGTTCGAGTCTCCTAGAGCCCAGGTGAATGACATGTTTATTTCCACGGTAGTGTGGATGACTAAATATATATATATATATATATATATATATATATATATATATATATATATATATATATATATATATATATATATATATATATATATATATATTTATATATTTTTATATATTTATATATTTATATATATATATATTTATATATTTATATATATATATATATATTTATTTATATATATATATATATATATATATATATATAGATATATATATATATATATATATATATATATATTTATATATTTATATTTGTTGGTGGACCGGATAGAATCATATTACCCCTATGGAGGCAGGGCAAACAATTTGCGTGGAACTATACTTGTGTATCAGCCTTGGCAGCCACGTCCATCAGCCTCTGTCAGTCAGGCAGGAACCGCTGGCACTCAAAGTGACAAATGAAACAAGTACCGGGCAAATAAACCACCGGTACAAATGTGTTCCTGAAGGATAGAGACCCATGGTCCACGGGAGAGTGTGCAAGGCGGTATATATGTATACATGCATACACATACAATATATATATATATATATATATATATACTAATAATGATAGTTGATCATGAACTTGGATGCCAGCGCCGACTGGGCGGGTGCCTGGCCGCTGCGGGACGGTGGCTTCGCCGCTCATGTTGACTGTTGAGGCTCTGGACGAAGCCCTTCGGCAGAGTGGGAGGCTGGTAAGGGCGCCGGGCATGGCGGGGCTGAGGGGTAGTGTAGGCTGCCACTCGTGACGGCCTCGGTCTTAGAGGCCGCCGTGATCTAGACAAGCCCAGGGGGAAATGTTTATAGAGGGATCTGAAAAAATTCCACGAGCTGGGAAGCGCCAGTGGATGACACCAGCCGTTGGTGCTAGCCTCGCCAGGCCTTATTCTCCTCCGCCAATTGTTTACATTTCCCGCCTCGCCATTGGCCGTCTTTCGTGTGAACGAATATAAGGTGGAGTTCGCAGCCAAGCGGGGGCCACATTTTCACAGGGTTGTTTACGGTAGTTATTCTGACCTGTGGGATGGTTGATGACATCGGCGAAGTCAAAGGTATCGACGGTGCGCTGGGGGAGGGGGGGCGGGGCTTGGCGGAGACGCGTCTGTGATTGGTGGAGGCGTCGTGTCGCATCGCCAGGGGGCGGCCGACGTCCCGCGCCGCCGCCGCCGCCGCCCTCCACCTCCCACAATATATCGTCCGCTACGTAACAGATTTCGCTCTTAAATCACGTTTGCATAGGGCAGGTGTTTGGGGTAAGGTGAAGAGCCCAGGAGGTAATAGGTCGTGGCGCTCATAAATATGTGCGTCATTATGGTGGGCAGGAGAGCTGGAGCAGACGGCCCTCGCCCCCACCGCCAACACTCTCTCCCTCTCCGTCTTTGTTGGAGAAAATGGTGGCGTCGCTATCACCAGCAGTGGACTCTTCTCGCCGGCACCGTTCGTTCGTCTTTGTTGGAGAGCGTTGGAGCCCGCCTTCGCCACCCGCCGCTCCACCACCACCACCAGATGACGTAGCTGTCTGTGTCTCCACCACCACCACCACCACCACCAGATGACGTAGCTGCCTGTGTCTCCAACACTACCACCACCACCACTACCAGCATCACCACCAGTGCCTCTGGCAGAGCCGCTGTGAACATCAAAATCAACATTACAGCATCTTCAGCGACGCCACCACAAGCACCACCATCAGCATCGCTAACAGCAGCACAAATAGTTGAATTGCTCCTACAACCGCTTCATGCACCACCACTGCCCCCCTCCACCTGCCCCTCCACCTGCTCCTCCACCATGCCAACCTCCTCCAGCACAATGCCTAATGTATGATTAGACACTGAGAGAGGAAGATTTTTGGGGAGAGTAAACCGTAGCTTAGGTCACACACCTGCCAAGGTTACACACCTGCCAAGGTCACACATCTGCCAAGGGCACACACCTGCCACGGTCACACCTGCCAAGGACACACACCTGTCAAGGTCACCATCTCATGACTCAAGGTGGGACTTCACACCATCCTGACCTCACCAATACTCTCCCCTATCTCATTTCCACTCTGTATATCATATATATAGAAAATCCGTATATATGATGTTATACCCCTCTTCTCTCCCTTTATTCTTCCCACTTACACATTATATGTGTAACATATATAACACACATTATATGTGTTACATTATGTGTAATATATACACATTAGAGCAGTGGTGTCCAGCCTCTACTCATCGCGGTGGGTCGCCAAATGTTTTCTGGTGGGTTGAAGAACCCAAATTCCGAGTACTAATGGCAGGAGGGAGGTCAGAGATCGGGCCGCGAGGACATTGATCCACGGAACTGTCACAACGGGGGAAAGGGAAAGGGGGTTGTGGGGGTTGGGGGGTGGCGCAGGTATTTTGGGTGTCTGTGTTAGAAAATAGCATCTCGATTCTAGGAAGATTGGGAAGCACTTGACCAATCTTGGGTCATGTTTACTCTACAGCGACCTTGGAGGATATTAGCACCAGAGGTATATGAACCTCTGGGTGTATGAACCCTCTGGGTGTATGAACCCCCTGGGTGTATGGACCGATGGGTGTATGAACCCCTGGGTGTATGAACCCCCTGGGTGTATGGACCGATGGGTGTGTGAACCCCTGGGTGTATGAACCTCTGGGTGTATGAACCTCTGGGTGTATGAACCTCTGGGTGTATGAACCCCTGGGTGTATGAAACCCCTGGGTGTATGAACCCCTGGGTGTGTGAACCCCGGGGTGTGTGAACCCCTGGGTGTATGAACCCCGGGGTGTGTGAACCCCTGGGTGTATGAAACCCCTGGGTGTATGAACCCCTGGGTGTAAGAACCCCCTGGGTGTGTGAACCCCTGGGTGTATGGACCGATGGGTGTATGAACCCCTGGGTGTGTGAACCCTCAGGGTGTGGGAACCCCTGGGTGTATGAACCTCTGGGTGTGTGAACCCCTGGGTGTATGAACCCCTGGGTGTATGAACCCCTGGGTGTATGAACCCCTGGGTGTGTGAACCCCTGGGTGTATGAACCCTCTGGGTGTATGAACCCCCTGGGTGTATGAACCCCCTGGGTGTATGAACCCCCTGGGTGTATGAACCCCTGGGTGTATGAACCCCTGGGTGTATGAACCCCTGGGTGTATGAACCCCTGGGTGTGTGAACCCCTGGGTGTATGAACCCTCTGGGTGTATGAACCCCCTGGGTGTATGAACCCCCTGGGTGTATGAACCCCCTGGGTGTATGAACCCCTGGGTGTATGAACCCCTGGGTGTATGAACCTCTGGGTGTATGAACCCCTGGGTGTATGAACCCCTGGGTGTATGAACCCCTGGGTGTATGAACCCTCTGGGTGTATGAACCCCTGGGTTTATGAACCCCTGGGTGTATGAACCCCTGGGTGTATGAACCCTCTGGGTGTATGAGCCCTCTGGGTGTATGAACCCTCTGGGTGTATGAACCCTCTGGGTGTATGAACCCCTGGGTGTATGAGCCCTCTGGGTGTATGAGCCCTCTGGGTGTATGAACCCCTGGGTGTATGAACCCCCTGGGTGTATGAACCTCTGGGTGTATGAACCCTCTGGGTGTATGAACCTCCGGATTTATGAACCCCTGGGTGTGTGAACCCCTGGGTGTATGAACCTCTGGGTGTGTGAAACCCTGGGTGTATGAACCTCTGGGTGTGTGAACCCCTGGGTGTGTGAACCCCTGGGTGTATGAACCTCTGGGTGTGTGAACCCCTGGGTGTGTGAACCCCTGGGTGTGTGAACCCCTGGGTGTATGAACCTCTGGGTGTGTGAACCCCTGGGTGTATGAACCTCTGGGTGTGTGAACCCCTGGGTGTGTGAACCCCTGGGTGTATGAACCTCTGGGTGTATGAACCTCTGGGTGTATGAACCCCTGGGTGTATGAACCCCTGGGTGTATGAACCTCTGGGTGTATGAACCTCTGGGTGTATGAACCCCTGGGTGTGTGAACCCCGGTCTGGGGCCAGGCTTGTCTTGTGATAACTTTTGGTCCAAAAAGGCCATGCGTTGTATTATTTCCGACTCTGTCATTAGAACCAAATGGATCTGATATGTAACCTGGAACTTTAACCCTATTTTTCATTCTATTTTTGTTTTCAAAAGTGCTGGGCCGTATATGTCTAATTGCTTGTTGAGTTATTTAATCTATTTGTCTAACGATGTCGTTAATGTTAATTGTACATGTTTGGATATCCCCCTCCCATGTTTACTTTATCAATCTTTGTATATATTGAAGCACAGTGTTCGATAAGTGACCATTTATTAACAAGTTTTCCTCCTAAGATGACACTTGGAAGATGATCCCGAAGGGATAACTCGAGTTCTCTGCTCACATCCTTAATTAAACTACAAGAGGATGCTGCAGTATCTGGTTCTGTTGGTCTCTATTTGTCTCCAGATGCGATCGTAGTGGCCTCCTGTCGTCTTGGTAATCAAGCTCCTTATTCTGGAGCAAACATATCCTGGTGTCTTGTGTTCAGTTTTTAGAATATTTTCTATGTATCTTTTTGTATTCTCTTGTCAAATTTGACTGTCTGAATTCTGTACTTTATATTATGTAATCTCGCAATGTATTTTAAATACAGGTTGGTTGCAGGTTAAATGGTATATATTATTGTTATTGGTATACGTGGTTGATACCTGCTTGATGGGGTTCTGGGAGTTGTTCTACTCCCCAAGCCAGGCCTGACTTGTGAGAACTTGGTCCAACAGGCTATTGCTTGGAGCGGCCCGCAGGCCCACATATACCTGGTTGATGGGGTTCT